ACGGCAAATCCGAAAAACAAACTGGATAAAATAGCAGTAAAAGGCCGAAATTAAAAACGGCACGAAAACCAAAACCGACCACACCAGGACGTAGCCGCCGATGAGAGGAGTCGACGGCTGAAAAATTACGGCGATCGGAGCTGGAGGTGAATCTCACGCTCCGGCTGAAGCTGCCAGCACTGTCTCACTGTTCCGGCGAGTGTGGGTCACACGCGCCTCCGAACGGGCCCAAATTTTGACAGACGGCTCGCCGAAAGATGCCGGAGAGGATGGTCTGGGAGGTGAGAATAGAAGACGGCCGGAGACGAGCGAAAAATACTAACCTTATATTGGACTATAAACCTAGTCTGATACCATGTGAGAATATGGGAAAAATATGTTGTATATTATTCAAAAGACATGTACATATATATATAGGAACATAATGAGCCTAAATCTAATCCTACAAGATATAGACAAAATATATTATAACCATATATACAATATATTCTAACATACTAATATATGTTATCCATATATAGCATATATTCTAACATAATGTTTCTGGAATCTGTAGATATGTTCCTTTCGATAAGGTTATTATTTCTCGAAAGCCGGTTGCTGATGGGGATAATTTTTCCGTCGAGTTCGATCAGATTTTCCCGACCTGTTCTCTGTACATTTTTTCGTCTTTACAGCATGGTACATATGCTCAGGCGTTTTATTTTATATTTTTATCAGTATCCGACCCAAAGCTTTTAGTTTGTAACCTTTGATTCCCAGCCCAACTTTCTACCAACAGCCCAAAACCCTTTTCCCTGGTTCAATACGCGAGAGAGACAGAAAACGCAGGCTGTCCAGCCGCATTAGGCCCGCACGCGACTTGTTTCTGGCAGCAGCATCCAGCTCGCGATCAGCCCGCAAGCCGAACTCCCCAGCCCGCGAGTCCAGTCCTATTAGCAGGCACATTTTGGCAGCCTTTGCGGCCCCAATTCTTGCTCTCATGAGGCCCAATTCTGCGAGTGAATTCCAGTGCGGCCCGGATGGCTTTTTAGCCCAATTTTGAGTTCCGGAAGCTCGTTTTTTCGTATCGATCTCAATTCTAAAAATTATTTTCAAATAAGAAAATCCGAGAAAATTATTTTAAGTCCCGAGACCCCATTTAACTTTCCGAGTCTTTTTTTTTAAAAAAAATTCGAGAGTTCTAATTCCACGAAAATTTCGATAAAAACCCTTGATCCTTAATTTTGATTAAGTGTGAGTTTTAGATTATTTCGAGTAATGGGATAGATTATTGATTTCTATTATCTCTCTAAATGTAGGTGTTTGCCGAGTCGAGTCTCTTCCTACTACCGATCATTTTATTCTCGTCTATCTCGATTTGCCAGGTGGGTGTTGATAAACCTTACCATGTGTGTTAATTTCTATAAATGATTGGCTTGATAATCAATGTATGCATGTGAACCGATAGTCTATGAGGCTTAACTCTAGCCTTTAGAGAGCTGACTCCGCAATGGTGTATCGACAGTTTGCTCCTGTCTTTGTTGTATTGACAGTTTGCTCCTAACTTTGTTGTATTAACAGGTAATCCGGTCTTTGTTGTATTGACGGCTTAGGTGTGATCACATGTGCGTATGGCTATGTTAGGGGGTAGACTAGTCGATTTGTGTTCATGCTGCGATTATGATTTTAAGTCTTTATATTGATTATACTGCATGGTATTCCAACGGTGAGCAAGTGTTCGCTCCCCTGGTGGTTGTGGCGAAAGACAAGCGAGGCGGGTCATATATTTGATATTGAACTGTTTGATCTGCTTCCGCTTGTTTATTTATTATTTGTCTCGTTGCCAGACATACTTATTATTGAGATTGAAGACTGAACCATGTATTTGGTTTTTATGCATGCTAGACTATGAATTTGAATTATTGTTTTGGAGTTATGAATTGGGATTATTCTTATGAGTAAATAATTGTCGAGGAAGGTTATTTGTTGGCATGAGATGTTTATCGGAAGGTTGTATTCCCCGCGAATTTAAGTGTTGACTTAACTGTTGATATGTGAAATGTTGAGTAGCGCCTGTTAAATAACATTTTAAATCGATTTGCGAAAAATTAACTCTGATTTTTTTGAAAAAAATTCGGTATTTTTCTATTAAAAATAACGGGGCGTTACACACGATCTCTCTCTCTCTCTCTCTCTCTCTCTCTCTCTCTCTCTCACACACACACACACACACACATGCACACACACTCAAACACACCACCGACTACACAGTCACACACATCACAGGCAGCCAGCGCCCGCCGGCAGTTCACACCACTGCATCAAGACCCGGTTGTCATGTTGTCGTCGTCGTCAGCCCTGTTGCCGCCTTCGTCAGGCGATGCCGTCAACCCGTCCATAACTCACGGCGAGAGCTTCAATGTCGACGGCCATAAGAACCGCTGACTTACAACAGACCGATATCTCTCCTCTGCCTTCCACCACCATTCCGCCTTTTAGCCTGAGCCATCCGTCCACCGCAGCTTCGCCTTGCCACCGCCTCACCTTGCTTAGTCTCTACCATCCGGAACTTACATCCAGTCACAGTAACCACCCCGCTGCCGCCACTAGCAACACCACTAGCGTCTTCGCTGGAAACAGCACTGACATCGACATAGGCCACCACCGCAACTGGCCAACGAAATCTCCATGACACTCACCAGAAAGGTTGCAGGTCGCCGACGGCAGGAACCACCACCCGCCTGTCACGCCGACTCTCGCCCGCCGCCATAACCCAACCATTCTCGTTGTTGGTAGAAAGGCCGAGAATGAACGTGAATGCTGCATTTTAGAATGGGGTTTATTTTTTTCTAGAAATTTGATATGTTTAAGGGACTCAATTGCATTTTTATGAACTTCAATATATACAATTCAATTCATGGGTTAAAAATAACAACTTATAAAAAAAAATTATTTTCACGTTAATGTTATGTAAATTGTACGTTAACGATAATTAAATTGCATTAATGTTATGTAGATTGCACATAAATATTTTCAGCTAACGCATGCACTAATATATTTACAACAATCAACGTACAATTTATTATTTTCATATGAAATTACCTTAAATCATTATATAGTTTTTTTATATTTATTAATAACTCCAATTTTGTCCTTTTTTTCTCCTAAAAGCCACTTTTTCATTTTAATTTTTTTTGGGACAAAACAAATCTTTTTTTAATATATATTATGAAAACGTGCGAATACGAGATTTCTCACCCAAAAATATCATTTTACTCTTCCCCTATTGAAAATGTCGAGAACAACCATTAAATTAAGTTATTTTCCACAAAGTAAAAAAGTACAATCAAAATGAAGATAGTGTGCAGATCACACCATTATTATCGTCAACAAAAAAGTCCATCTTTTATCACGCTGAAAGCCTAACTAAATCATCCTTAGCTATTTAGTAGCATCGCAAAAGAAATATTTCATCGAAAGAATACATCTATTGAAAGAAAAAAAAGGAAAAAAAAAGTGAAAAAAAATTAGTCGTCACAATTTCCTAGCTCCACCAAATGCCATGATCCTCTCTGTTGGATGATTAGGTGATGGTTGCCAAAATTTGACAAAATCATATTGCATTTTACATTGGAAGTGCTAAGAAGTTGTGTTTTGTTGACAGTTTGTAACGCAATTCACATTGCAATCCTGGACTACTAATAGAGGGCAAAATGAATGAAGAAAACACACACAAGATACAACATCCAAAAGAGATAAAAGAAAGAGAAAAAGGGTGTGAGTAAGAAGCAAAAATTATCTCTTATGTGTGTATTTAAGTTGTGAGTTATGAGTGAGCTTAAGGGTGTTTTGTAAACACGAGTGTATTTCTTTTCTCCTAATAAATTATCTACAGTAGTCCGGAGACATGGGCATTATTAGCCGAACTCTGTTATCAATTTAGTGTGTCTAATTTTTGTACTTCTATTTCACTTTTATAGATCCGACTTCATGGAAAATTCAGCATATTTTTTCCAACAACTGGTATCAGAGCCAGATTGTTATTTCTATAACTTTTGTGTGGGTTACTATTCCGTGAATAGTGAAAAACGTGAATAGTGCCAAGTTTGTCGGCTCTACAAATTTATATACCGACATGTTCTGAAACACGACAATTCAGAAAATTATAGAAACGATCCAGCAGAGAAGTCAGATCAGAGTCGACGTGATGGCTGCAGATGAAGGAAAATGAAAATTGAAAAGTTCGATGGTGCAGACTTTGGCTGCAGATCGAGGATTATCTGTACCAGAAGAATGTATCAACCATTCACAGGAAAGAAGCCAGAGGACATGAAGGAGGATAAATGGAGTCTCCTTGACAGACAAGCTCTTGGAGCCATTCGGTTGACCTTATCCGGTAATGTTGCTTTTAACATTGCAAAAGAAAAGACGATAGCAGGCCTCATGAAGGTTCCTTCCAACATGTACGAGTAACCATCAGCCTCAAACAAAATATGAGGCGACTGTTCAACCTACGGATGATTGAAAGTGCTCTGGTAGAACATCATCTCAAAGCTCAACACCGTCACAACCCAGTTGAGTTCAGTTAGGATCAAGTTCGATGATGAAGTACAGGATTTAATACTTTTGTTTTCCCTACCAGAAAGTTGGGATGCTGCGTTCACAGCTGTGAGTAGCTCATTATGAAGCAATAAGTTGAGAATTGATAATGTTCAAAATTTGGTTCTCAGTGAAGAGATCCGGCGGAGAGAATGGGGTGAACCATCGTCCTCTTCTGTATTGCATACAGAGTCAAGAGGAAGAAGTTCAACCAAAGAAAGCAGCACAACAAATCAAAGGGAAGAAGATCCAAGTCAAGAAATCATCGTAGTTCCCAAAACTCGAAGTTGATCGAGTGCTGGAATTGTAGGAAGACTGGACACTACAGAAACTAGTGCAAGAGTGAAACAAAGAATCAGGAGGTCAAAGAAGAGGCAAATGTTGCCTCAACCTCATGAGAAGATATGTTGATATGGTTTTTGGAGAACAGAGAAGAGTCTTCGGTGTTAGACTCTGGAGCATCCTTTCATGCTACCTTACAGAAGGAACTATTCGAAAATTATGTTCCTGAAAATCTTGGTAAAGTTTACCTTGGTAATGAGCAATCTTGTGAGGTTATAGGGAAAGATGCAATAAAAATCAAGCTGAGCGGGTCTGTATGGGAATTGAAAATGTCAGACATATTTCCGACCGGATGAAGAATTTAATCTCAGTGGGTCAACTATCCAGTGAAGGCTACACAAAAATCCTCCATGGTGATTCAAAGGGTGCGATAACAATTACTCGAGGCAAAAAGATTGGTACTCTTTACAAGACAACAGGAGCATGTCATCTGATTGCAGTTGCAGCTTATGAAAATCCCAATCAATGGCCTTCAGTCAATAGAAATTGACATGTGTGAAGATTGTATACTTGGAAAGCAAAAGAGAGTCAGCTTTCAGACAAGCAGAATCACTCCAAAGAAGGAGAAACTTGAGCTCATCCACTCTGATATTTGGGTTCCAACGACTGTCCCATTCATTGGTGGGAAGCAATACTTCGTGACTTTTATCGATGATCACTCTAGCAAAGTGTGGGTTTACTTTCTGAAACACAAGTCAGAAGTAATTGAAGCTTTCAAGATTTGGAAAGCTATGGTGGAAATTGAGACAGGATTGAAGATTAAGAAGCTCAGATCCAACAATGGTGGTGAATATGTAACCACCAGATTCAAGAAGTTTTGCTATAAGCACGGGATCAGAATGAAGAAAACCATGACTGGTACGCCTCAACACAATGGTGTAACTAGGCATATAATTGACTGAAAAGGCTAGAAGCTTGCATGTGCAGTCAGGCCTACCAAAGCAGTTCTGGGCAGAAGCAGTCAACACAACAACTTACTTGATTAACTAAAGTACATCGGTACCATTGGATCACACGTTACCAGAAGAGGTGTGGAGCGGAAAAGAAGTAAAACTCTCATATCTTAGAGTTTTCGGGTGTGTAGCATATGTGCACATCAGTGATCAAGGTAGAAACAAACTTGATCCAAAATCAAAGAAATGTACTTTCCTTGGTTATGGTGACGATGAGTTTGGCTACCGCTTATGAGATGATGAAAACAAAAAGATGATCTGTAGCAGAGATGTCATCTTTAATGAAAGAGTAATGTACAAGGACCGACATAACACAACTTCTAGCAACTCAGAAGCGAGTGGGCCAGTTTATGGAGATGTGGAAGATATCCCGGACATTCATATAATAAGGAATCCTCAGTTAGAAGAATAAAATGAAGAAAGCAGTGAGCAATCAGAACCTTCTACTTCAACTCTTGTATTAAGAAGGTCCTCTCAGCCCCATGTGCTTAACAGGAGATACATTGACTACATGTTGTTGACTGATGGAGGAGAACCTGAAGATTATATAGAGGCTTGTCAAACCATAGATGCTAGCAAGTGGGAGCTTGCCATAAAAGACGAGATGAAGTCTTTGATCTCAAATCAGACATGGAAACTAGTCAAGTTAACTATGGAAAAGAAAGCACTTCACAACAAATGGGTGTATCGGGTGAAGGAAGACCATGATGGTTCCTAGAGATACAAAGCCCGACTGGTTGTCAAAGGATTTCAGCAGAAATAATGAGTGACTATACTGAAATCTTTGCTCCAGTTGTAAAGTTCAATACTATCAGGACTGTGTTAAGTATTGTGGCTAGTGAAGAGCTCTAGAGTAATTGGACGTGAAGACTGCATTTCTTCACGGCGACCTACATGAGGGATCTATATGCACCAGCCTAAAGGTTTTTCAGAATGAAAGAAGGATATGGTGTGCAATTTGAAGAAGAGATTGTACGGCCTGAAACAAGCTCCAAGACGGTGGTATAGAAAGTTTGAAAGTTTCATGCACAAGGAAGGTTTCCACAAGTGCAATGCTGATCATTGTTGTTTCTTCAAGAAAATATGAGTCCAGCTATATCATATTGCTACTTTATGTCGATGATATGTTTGTAGCGGAATCAGATATGAAAGCCATCATAAAATTAAAAATGCAGTTGTAAAAAGAATTTTGGCATGAAGGACTCAGGCCCAGCAAAGAAGATTCTTGGAATGCAAATCACGAAAGAGAAAAAAAAAAAGAGAGTTTTTCAGTTATCTCAGGCAGAGTGCATCAACCGTGTTTTGCAGAGATTTAACATGGACAAGGCTAAGCCATTCAGTACACCTTCCGCCAGCCATTTTCGTCTACCCAAGGATCAGTCTCCTCAAACAAAGGAAGAAGAAGAGTTTATGGCTAAAATTCCTTATGATTCAGCTATTTGAAGTTTGATGTACGCGATGGTCTGTACGAGGCCAGACATTGGTCATGCAATGGGAGTTGTTAGATGGTTTATGTCAAATCCAGGAAAAGCTCATTGGGAAGCAGTCAAATGGATCTTGAGATATCTACAAGGCACAACAGAAAAATGTCTGTATTTTAGAAATGAGATTTAAAGTTACAGGGCTGCGTAGATGCAGACTTTGGAGGTGAAGTTGATCACCGAAGATGCACCACCAGTTATAATTGCATAGTTGGAGCTACAACTGTTAGTTAGATGCCGCCGATACAAAATAATGTTGCTTTATCTACTATAGAGGCTGAGTATGTTGCAGTGACAAAAGCCAGTAAAAAATTGATATGGCTTCAAGGATTGTTAGCGGAGATGAGTTTCACTAAAAAAGAAAGCGTCTTGCACAGTTATAGTCAGAGTGCAATACATCTGACAACGAACTCAGTGTTTCACTCCAGAACTAAGCACATTGACATACGATATCATTTCATCAAATCTCTTCTTGAGGATGAAGTATTGACTTTGAAGAAGATTGTAGGAACCAAGAACCCAGCAGATATTTTTTTTTTCAAACGATAGATTTTATAGAACAAAACATACAAATACAAACTAGAAACCAGCAAATTCGCTGAGAAACCAGCCAATCAGCTGAATCTAGGTGGGAGAGCTACACAAAGTGTAGCCTATAGTCAACTTACCAACAACAAACAAACCACGACACACATAAACAACCTACAAACTCCCAACAGGGGAGAAACAAACCCTCAATGGAGGAGATAAAAACTCCCACAAGAAGAGAAGCTCCCAACCGGGAGAACCAAAAATAAAGAAACAAAAACACTAACCAACATGAAAAAACAAAACAAACCAAAAACACAAAAACAAAATAAAGATAACAACACCCTCCCAACCGTACATCAACCCACCTCTCGCACTACCAAGCAAACACCCAAGAGCGACCCACCGGAAAAAGGCCCCACAAGCTAAACGAACCTAGATCTGAAAACCACCTCCGGGAATCGCAAACTTGCCCCGGCCAGACCACCGCCATAGCCTCCCTGTTGGAACCCACGAGGATCTCGATATGCACAAATCACAGACAAACATTCAACACAAACTTATGCGCAGCGGATCTAAAGGTTTGATGAAGAAAACTTACTGCTTAAAATTTATGTAGATCTGGCTGGCCCGGACAGTTGACCGCAAATCAAATCTTCTCGGAATCGAACAAACTTGACCAATCCAGAAAGCTAACGTCACAGCGAATTCA